TATATTACTCAGAAAAGTTATGGAAAATTGAACGAAAGTTAATAGAAAGTGAAAGAAAAATAACTATTGAGTAATAAGGGAGAATAATTGAAATAAAAATATATTATATATTCTAATATATTAAATATTAAAGGAGAGTAAGTGGAACGGTCTGATAGGAGTAAAGTCATTTTGTCATTATATTCTGTACAAACATATACATACACACACACACACATACATATACATATACATATATATATATATATATATATATATATATATATATATATATATATATATATATATATATATATATATATATATGTATATATATATATTGTCATAATAATTCTGCTTTAAGAGCTGGTATTAATTTATTGCTGTGGACTGTAAAATTAGAGGAGTTAAAGGATTAAATAAGTGAATGAGTAAAATTGATTGCTATATTTTATTACATGTATTTTATAAGGAGGTTAAATATTGGTGGGTTGGGATACTTGCATTTTTTCTTTTTCTTGTTGTGCCAGTCTTCTCGTTCATCTTCCCTCTCTTCCTTTCTTGGCCCCTTGCCGGCCGCTGTAGTGTTTTACTCCATGTTTAATAAATCAGTGGAATCACAAAATTTTCAACTGGCCAGTCTATGTATATGTATATGTATATGTATATACCGTACAGAATATAATGACAAAATGACTTTACTCCTGTCAGACCGTTCCACTTACTCTCCTACATCCCGTGATCCCACCTCATCATTAAAAACCAAATTTAACCTACACCTAAAAAATCTTTTAAATTCTAAACTCATAAACTATCGTACTTACAGAAACCTTATCTCCTACAATTCAGTTGCTCCCCGTTTTTATGGACTTCCTAAAATCCACAAACCCGCACCCCGCTCCGTCCGATCACTTCCAACATTAATTCTCCTTCTGTTAAACTTAGCAAATTCTTACTACCTTCCTTACAAATCTTCAGCCACAACAATCCTTATGATGTACAAAATTCATTCCATCTCCGTGAACAGCTACTCTCCTTTACCATTCCAGACAATTTCATTCTTTGCTTCCTTCGATATTATATATATATAAGGAAGTTGTCAGCAAAAAGGAAAGGAATATAACTATGGATGTTTTAATAAATTCAGAATTTGGGAATAGGCTAAAGAAAAGTTCTGTTTGTCAGTTTTTAGATTCACTGTCTTTGGTTGAAGTTGGATGTCGAGGGTTTCAGAAATGGGTTGTTTGTCATGGTTGAGAACTGTGGCAAGGATGGATGTTTTGTCGAAATCAAATGAATGATTGAGGGAGAGAGAATGTTCGGATAATTTGGAAGCAGTAAAATTACGAGAGGATACAGAATATTTATGTTGGGTTATGCGGTCTTTTAGGAGATTTTTGGTTTCACCAATATAGGATGAAAAACAATTGGGGGTAGAACATGGAATATGGTAAACGATATGAGAGCGGTGTGAGAGAGGAACAGGATCTTTTAGGGATGTGTATAATTTAGAGAGTGTGTTGTGAGATTTGAATGCAAGTCGTAAGTTAGGGTTAGTAGATCGTAAAACTTTGTTGATATTGTCTGAAAGGTTAGGAATATAAGGTAGAGATCTGTACATTGGGGCTGAAATGGGTTGTGGAGAATTAGTGGAAGTTGAGATTAAGGAAGAGCGATTATTTTGGTCTGTTATAAGTTTGTTAATGACATGGAGAGGAAAATTATTGTTTGACAGGATCTGTTTTATGCGTTTGATATTGGTAACATGAAATTGGGGATCAGAGAGGGAGAGACTACGGTGGATGAGATTTTTCGCAACGTTAATTTTTTGGTGGTAGGGATGTTTAGAATGGAAATTTAGGAGTCTGCCAGTGTAAGTTGGTTTAGTGTACCAGTGTGTGGATATGGTGTTATTGGGATTTTTAATGACTAGAAGGTCGAGAAAAGGGAGAGAATTATTGAGTTTGTGTAGTACTGTAAAATTGAGGCGGGGATGGTAAGAGTTAAAATGTGATAGGATATCGGGAATTTTATTTGGATTGATGATTAGGAGGAGGTCGTCTACGTATTTTCGAATAAAGATGATATCGTCAGGGTAAAGAGGGATAATGGAGTCTAGAAGATCATTGAGAAGGATGTTGGAGATGTCGGGAGCGAGGGTGTTACCCATTGCTAGTCCGGAGATTTGGTTAAAGAATTGTCCTTGGAAAGTGAAGTAGCCTGATTTACAGCATAGATGAAGGGATTCGAGATATGAGGAGCGGTTAAGTGAGGTGTGAGGTTCAATGATAGTCCAATTGTCGTCTATTATAGTAAGTGCCTTGTCTATGGGTATGTTCGTAAATAAACTTTCAACATCGAAGGAAGCAAAGAATGAAATTGTCTGGAATGGTAAAGGAGAGTAGCTGTTCACGGAGATGGAATGAATTTTGTACATCATAAGGATTGTTGTGGCTGAAGATTTGTAAGGAAGGTAGTAAGAATTTGCTAAGTTTAACAGAAGGAGAATTAATGTTGGAAGTGATCGGACGGAGTGGGGTGCGGGTTTGTGGATTTTAGGAAGTCCATAAAAACGGGGAGCAACTGAATTGTAGGAGATAAGGTTTCTGTAAGTACGATAGTTTATGAGTTTAGAATTTAAAAGATTTTTTAGGTGTAGGTTAAATTTGGTTTTTAATGATGAGGTGGGATCACGAGATGTAGGAGAGTAAGTGGAACGGTCTGATAGGAGTAAAGTCATTTTGTCATTATATTCTGTACGGTATATACATATACATATACATATACTGTACATATACATATATATATATATATATATATATATATATATATATATATATATATATATATATATATATATATGTATATGTATATGTATGTGTGTGTGTGTATGTATAGGTTTGTACAGAATATAATGACAAAATGACTTTACTCCTATCAGACCGTTCCACTTACTCTCCTTTAATATTTAATATATTAGAATATATAATATATTTTTATTTCAATTATTCTCCCTTATTACTCAATAGTTATTTTTCTTTCACTTTCTATTAACTTTCGTTCAATTTTCCATAACTTTTCTGAGTAATATATCTCTCGTACCTATTTACGCTTCCAGCGCTTTAGTTCAAACTTCGTCGGATAACCGTTAGAGATGACGCCACCTACACATCTCTTCTCTCTCCCCTCCCTTGTAACGACTTTTATTCTCCCTGCAACACTTAAGGAGACAGGTAGTACTTTTTTTATTTATTTCTTATTTCAGCTTTCTCAATTTCTTCCCTCCTTCCTTTCATTCCTTTTCTCTGTTTTTAACTCTTTATTATATTATACATTGTCTGTACATCTTGATAGACTTTACAATATCTCAATTTTCTATCTAACTACTCCATTCTCAATGTTTTAATTTTACTATTTATTTTCATTTCTTATATAACTTCATATTTCTTTTTTATGTTTTACATTTTATTCTAAGATTCCCATTGTAACACTTATGTCACCCTTTTTGATTATGCCTACTTCATCATTCCACACTCTGTAATGGTTATTATTATTTATCTCTTAGTTCTTAGTCATTATTCTAACAATTTCATTTTACTTTATATTTATTTATTTAATTTTTTTTTTCATTATTATTTTTTATTTTTTTTTTTTACCATCACTACTTATGTTTCTCATACCTTGTTATCTGGTTATTTTCTTAGCCCTGATGAAGGCCTGAACTTCAGGTCGAAACGTCAGCATATGTAAAAAATAAATATAATCATTTATTTTTTGCCTTCCTTTTTGACTGACCACCCCAACTATTCTTGTCTTCATTATCCACGACAGTCAACCAATTACCAATTATAAAAAACCTTAGTGGACTTACTGGCAGACAATAGTCCATTGATAATATCAATTAAAGCAGTAAAAAAAATTATAACAAGACAAAAAACAAATGAATAAAACAGATTTTTTTTTTCTTCTATGCTCTATACTACAACCCAGTCTCGAGTCCTAGCCTCCCTCCTCCAGCAGTTTTCTCCTTAATGTCCGGATCTCATCTAGTTCCTTATTCCAAGAATATTTCTTGCATCTTCAGTCAAATCATCATAATTTAGGCGTTCTTATCTTTCTTGTGGCATACAGTGGTTGCTCAAGATGCTTCTTTCCTCTTCTTCCATCCTTGGCACATGTCCCCTGCCCACCCCACCCAGCTCAATTCCATGTTTTGTATAACCTAAGGTTTGGGGAACATGGCATATAATTCCCGGTTGGAGCGTCTTCTCCATTTTCCAGGAACTTAAGCTGCTTCATATATTATTAAAAGGATTTTCTATTCAGATATCAGAAGATCACACTCATCATTTTGAGTAAATGTCCATGTCTCACAACCTTAGAGGAGAACTGGCCATATAAAGTTTTTTAATAGCAGGACCATAGTTTGTCTAGATCAGAGGCGACTGCAAAACTCCTAGCATAAGCTGAAGGAGCAAGGATTGGCATTAACAATTCTCTTTTTAATTGGAGATGTTACATTATTATCGCTTGCCACTAATGACACTAAATAAGTAAACTCCATCACTTTCTCGAAATTGTAGGGACCTATGTTCACAATGTCTCCAGGTCTTATAGTGTCTTGTGTCACCAGGTATTTGATCTAAGCTTCATTAATTTCTAGACCAAATCTATTAAATGGTTCAATCAATGCCAGGAATGAGAAAAAAAATTCTTTCATCTATTTTATTCATTTGTTTTTTGTCTTTTTATAATTTTGTTTACTGCTTTAATTGAATTTAGCAATAGACTAATGTCTGCCAGTATTTTAAAATTGTAAAATATCTCTGAAGATGCTTAAAATGGCAAACATTTTGATGATTTAACAATAAAATATGTAATGACTGAGACTACTGAGGCCTAAATCACTAATTAAACTTCTAATAAAGTCTCTTTCCCATTGTCCTCATTAACATATACATGCCATAAAATTGAAGATATTGTTACATTATTAAAAAGAATAAAAATAAAATATTTATTACCATCTATTCTCTGAATTAATTCCCTCAATCGATTAATTTTATGTTGAATACCTAGCTGAGGGAATATGTAATTATCCTGAATACCATCCAGGAATTTGCAAAAACACCAGTATGAATCAGCTTCAACAATATTACGTTTTTCTTCATCAAGAAGAGATATATCGACCTCATCTAAATTAGTTCCTAAAAAATACAATCGCAAAATATATATGCAATACATAGATCAGAATTGGACATTAAATAATTTATTTATTTTTTTCAATAATGTATAAATAAATATTTAAAAAATAATTTTTTATTAAACATTCAATATATTGATTAATCGTTACCATAAAAGGGGGAACTTGACACCTTGGGAGGTAGTATTATTCCATAACTAAAATTACTTTTTAAGTTCTCAACTTCCAGCTTCATAGAGTATTTACTACCAATTGCATAGAGAAACTATTTACAAATCTGTCAATCCATCAGTTTTTGTTTATGGCATTAAACAATAATTATAGATTTGAGTAATAATAACCCCCAAGGTACCAAGTTTCACTCTTTTAAAGGTTGGTTTATATGGTTAAATTGTTTTATCTAATTCTTAACCTATAATTTTATTTTTTTTTTTATTGTATATATATTGAATATTAACACAAGCTATCACACTCAAGGGCAATAAGTATTAGAGCTAAAAGTATCCACTCATACATACAAGAAAAATAAATGAAGGTAATTAAAGAAAAAATAAAGAAAGAAAAAACAAAAGACTTAATAAATAAATAAAATTCTTCTAAAGCTCATTCACACCTATATACAATATTTACATTTGCCTCCAAGCCAGGCTTTATCTTCCGCGTGTGGAAGGCAAAGCTTGGCTCAAAGAGGTTGCAGCGCTTCTTTTCCAGCCGGATCACTGGCTTGGGGGCCAGTGAAGACTGAGGGAGGGCACTTGAGCCACAAACATCAAGGCATTGAATGGAGAAGCTGGCCATTGCCAGGACTCCATCAACATATTTACAAAATGTCTTGAGGCCACTGCCGTTTCAGCCTCCAGGGAGGAATATAGGAATGGTTGGAGCTAGGTAGGGATTGACCTAGAGGATTGGAATGATGAATAAGGTTCTGGTGAAATTTCGTAAATCAGGATGGGATGTTAAGGTCATGGTGTAGGGTCTTGTTGGAGACATAAATGGAGTGTTGACTATTGTTCGAAGTAATTTGGACTGGAAGGATTGAATACGTTTGATATTCCAAAATTTAGCTGTGCCCCACAGTTCAAGTCCGCAGGTCCAGATAGGTTTCAGTACAGTCTTGTAAATTGTTGGTTAAGCTCTTGTCTTTTAAGTCAGGTGTGAGGGTTCCGAGTTAGTCTTTTCTCTGAAAGGAAGCCAGATACCGGACAGAGTCTGAAGTGAGATAGAGTTAAATAGGATAGCGCAGGATCTGCGGCGGAGGGTGAAGGTGATATATTTACATTTTGATTCATTAACTTTGATGCGCCAATTCTTGCACCACTGCTCTATCAGGTATAGGTGTCTTTGCAGATTGAGGAATGCAATTTCGGGATCTATGTGAGAACAGGATGGCGGTATAATCTGCGAATATTGCTAGGAAGGTATCGAGATATGTAGGGATATCAGCAGGGAAGAGAATATATAAAATATTACCTGTGAATATATAAGACACTGATTGTGGGACGCCAGCCTTTACTGGGTAACAATTAGAAAGTTATGAGCCACAGCGTACTCGGAAGGAATCAAGGGTGAGGTAGGATTTGAGGACTAAGTACAAGGATTGGGGTAATAAGGTTTTGAGCTTTAAAAGTAAACCATCGTACCACACACGGTCGAAAGCTTGCGCTACGCCCAGAAAGGCACAAGTGCAATATTATATTGCTTGCTTTCAAGAGCAAAGGATACATGGTCAACAAGACGTAGAACTGTGGAGTGTTGTGAGCGGAAACCAAACTGGTGTTGAGGTAAATTTTGGAATTCTATTATGGGAGGATTGGCTTGAGAAGAATTTATTTTCAAAGATTTTTGAAATGATCGGTAGCAAGTTTATTGGTCTATAGGGTGAGGTATTATTGGTAGGTTTACCTGTTTTAAGGAAGAGGATAATTATGTTTCCACATCAAAGGAAAGTGGGTGGTGCGGAGGATACAATTATATAGGCGTGTAAGAAACATAATGGCTTTTTTGGGAAGTTGCTTAAGGATCTGGGAAGTTAGGAGGTCGTATTCAGGGGATTTTGTAGGTTTTAGGTTTTTTATAAGGAATTTGACCTCAAAGGGGTTGACAGGTTTGTGAGGCAAGGACAGCGGGATCGGTGGAGAAATGAATTCTTTAACTTCGGCAGTATTGGAGGAATGGAGTTCTGGATGGAAAGTGATTGTATTGGACAGATATTTAGCGCATTCTATTCTCATATGACGAAGCCCAGGAACCATCATCACGGTAGAGTGGATGGGAAATGGAATGGGATCTAAGGATTTTTTTTAGTTAATTTCTAGGGTGAGTTATCGCATGCATATATTGAGGAAAGATAGGAATTGTAGGATTGGGATCTAAATGTTGTTAGTTTCTTTTTCAATGTTTTGGAATAGTAATTATATGACTTCCAATCATCAGGGTGCCTGGTTCTTTGTCAGAGGGTCCTAGAGCTTAGAGCATCGTTTGGCATGGATCAGGTCCAAAAGGTCTTAAGGTAAGGGATTTATTTTGTGGTGTTTCGGGGGAACGGAAGATAAGGATGCAGTCCAAACTGCTTGTTGGATCAGGGTAGTGCACAGTATCATCTAGGTCTTCGGGTGTTTCTAAGGATACTCTGAGGACATTATTATCGATCAGTATTTGACGGAAGAGGTTCCAGTTAACTGGTCCCCTAATAAATGAAGGCGGAAGTATTTTTTGAATCGGTACTGCAAAAATGTATAAAAGTAAAGGCCTGTGGCATGAGAAAAGATTTTCGAGCCGGGAAATGGAAAAATTTAGTGGGCTGAGACCTTTATGAATAAAAAGTCAAGGAGGTCGGGATTACAGTGGGGATAGGTTGGCCAATACATAGGAGTATCAGTGGAAAGGGTGTTGCTGTGATGGGAGTTAAGTGCAGACAACAATGTTCGCCTTCGGGGTTTTGTTGTTCTGGCTCCTCATTGCTGATGTTTTGCGTTTTGCATTGCTGAAGTCTGCACCTAGAAGGAAGTGGTGTCCTAAGGAATTAAGGAAGGAATTAAATTTGAGTTCAGAAATTGGTATTTTAGGAGCTGAATATGGTGCAACTAGTGTTACTGGATAAAGGAAAGTATGAATTGTTACAGCAGTGGATTGTAGGAAATAATGGATTGGTAAGGATGGGCTGTTCAATCAGGATGGTCAGTTTGGTAAATACGGTAGTCAGGTATGTTCAATAGTCGTTTATTGATTAGTCAGGTTTTAGTTATTAGTGTGAGATCAATGTTTTTGTGATGTAATAAGGCCGTTAGTCCGTTGGTTTGATTCCAAATACCATTCACATTCCATAGGAGAATAGATAGGGATTTAGTTAAGGACATTAATGTATTTTTTGGTGGTGGGATGAGGTGGGTTATAACAACTGTAAGTAGTGTGATAATGAGGTGGGGTAATGAGGGATTTGAATATAAAATATAGTCTTGTAAAAGTAAAGTATTTTGGTTTTTTAGGAAAATCACTATAGGAAATACCACTAGGGAAAATCACCATAGACTTAAATCTTTTTACATAGTTAAATTACTTGAAAAACAAAGTTGGAAAGAAAACATGTAGTTAGTTTGCTTGGTGTGCCAGGAAAATAACTTTACTTCAAAATCAATGTCATCTGTCATGAGCAGAGCCCAGATTTATATGTAGTAAGTATAATATCCACAAAATATCCTTCTAAATTTATTTATTTGAAACATAATATCCTATTGTATAAAATATTTTATAATTAGAAAATAATTTCTTTCTTTACATCAATGGAAGTAAAAGATGCAAATTTATATGGGCAACTGTGGTTTTCAATTGGAAATTTTTTCACACAGTAGTTTCAAAATATAACTTTTCTATCATCACATTTAAATATTGTTAAGTCTCATTACACCGTTGTTGTTTACTTTTACTCAAAATTCCATTTATCATCATACACACAAACTGAAATTTGGCTAATAGCATTTGATTAATAAAGATATTTGGTCAAATGTTAAAAAAATTGAGAATTAAGACAACAGATTATATGACTAAGAAAGATGAAGGGTGGAAATTGATAAAAATGACTACTCATTACATACAATCATAAGATGACTACATGAAAGTTAATAAAAAATTCTGGTTCGGTGCGCACATCACACAACTTTCACTTACCACCCTTCTTTCAGGAGAAATAAGTATTTTCAGACAAAGAGAAGAGTGACTTAAAGTCACAGACAGTACAAAATATTTTTTGAAACAATTAATTACATGTTTTTTTTCAATTTATACAGAAAGAATCATAATGGATTAACAGTGTGGTTATCGGCCTAACAGAAGTACTGGTATCAGTAAATCACATTTTTATTTTACGACAAAAGCTCGAGAAGTGTTATGAGCATAATATGGATGTACATATACTCTTTATAGGTTTTAAACAAGCCTTTGACCGAATTAAAAGCACCCAACTTTTTAGCATTTTCCGTGAATATAACATTTAAACTAATCCACCTAATTGAAACGACTATGCTGAACACACAAGTTAAAGTACTAATTAGCAATCAGGTTAGCGAAATCTTCCAATTGAACTCTGGAGTAAGGCAGGAAGACGCACTCTCAGCGATTCTATTTAACTTGGTGCTACATGATGCAATTAAAGGGATGACGCCAGGTGGTAATTTAGCATGCCGAACAAGACAAATATTGGGATATGCTGACAACATTGCAATTCTAGGTAGAAGCAAAGCGGCAATAATTGAGGTTCTATTGACATTTGTAGTAGAATGTTGGATTGATAGTTAACGACACAAAAACAAAGTATATGGTAGTTTCGACCTCGGATTCAAGAAGGAAGCCAGAAGGGTTTGTTTTCTAGGAATACATTTTTGAAGCAGTAAAGAGTTTCACGTATCTTGGGGCACAAGTCAATAGCGAAAATTGATTAGCCCGGAAATAAGAGGAAGGATCATGGCAGGCAATAGAGCGTACTTTGGTATGCTAAAGCTTTTTAAATCGACACTCCTATCGAGAGTCACAAAACAAAAAAAAGTGTACAAATCCTTGGTCCAACCAGTTGTGAACTATGGAGCTGAAGCCTAGATGCTGAAAGTAGCTGACCAGAGGGCACTAAGGATTTTCAAAAGAAACATTATGGGACAGATCTTTGGTCCCCTAAGCATAGAAGGAGAATGGAGGATAAGTACAAATCAAGAGCTGGATGAACTGTTGAAGCAGAATAATTAGCTGACTAGGACATGTGGAAAGACTGCCTGACAAAATAGCAACAAAAAAGATACTTAGGGAGGAATTTCATGGAAAAATGAAAAGAGGACTGAGAAAATGTTGGAAAAATGATGTGGGAAAGGATTTAAAGAGAATGGGGTTGGTAAATTAGAGGGGAAGAATGAAGGATAGTGAGGATTGGAAAAAGATCCTGAAGGAGGCCAAGGTACACCTCAAACTGTAGAGCCCATTAGTAAGTAAATAATTAAACATCGCTCCACAGTAAACTAGACAAAATTAACATTGAACGAAAGTAGAGTTTGACATTGTTAAAACTATTAATTAGGTTGAAGTTTATTAGGAAGAATTTTGAGATTCTCCTTAAGCTATGTATGTGTAAAGAAATCGTGTGATTTTTTATCCAGACACATAAAAGTATCCGCGTTTTCAGCAAAAATGATTAAAATTAACTGTTGCAAAGTTTTCATTTCTTGTTTATCCGTGATATGGGATGTATTGTGATAAACATAATGGCTTAAAAACATACTTTATTAATAAAAATAAAAAATTTAAAAATAATGATTTTTCAAATATATTTTATATAGGGTGGTTATAAAATTCTGTTTTCCCCCGAATTCTCTTATAGGAGCTGATGTGTATTTATAAGTGACAAACTAAATGTTTCTAGCCCTAATATTTACGTTTCCTTGAAAATAATTGAAGCAATCAGTAGGTCTCTTTATTTTAAATGTAAATTTTAGTAAGAAACACTAAGCTTTCACTGTTAAATACTTATGAATTCCTATGACGGAGGTCTGGGAGAAAAACACAATTTCATAACCACTTTACGTGAAAAATATTTTAAAAAATCATTATTTTTTAAAAATGTTATATTTATAAATAAAATGTGTTTTTAGGCAATTATGTTTATTACAATACATCCCATATCACAGAAAAACCAGAAATAAAAGCTATGCAATAGTTAATTGTAGTCATTTTTGCAGAAAACACAGGTACTTTAAGGTGACTGAATAGGATGTCACATCATTTCTTTACACAACTTAAAATGAATCTCAAAATTTTTCATAATAAATCTCAACTTAATTAATATATATTAAACGAGAAAGTTTTTGTAAAAGTGGAGTAAATGTAGTACAGATAAAGAGTGATAAAAAAAAATCACAAATAATTGATGACTTTTTTTAAACGAAACTTAGCTATATATGTCTGCCCAATAGTCCTCTTTAAATAGTTTTAATAATAACAAACTCTTACTTTCCTTTAAAGTAAATTTTGTCAAGTTTACAATGGAGCAATGTTTAGTTACTTAAATCAAATATTTTTTATGTTATCGCTTCCTATTTGAAAATTGAGCAATTGTTTATATAAAGTTTTTTGTAGATCTTGATGTTTATTATCAACCATTTAAATATTTACCTCTACTTATGGAACACCCTATATATCTGTTAAATTACCTTCTGGTAAAACTTGATGCAGAAACACTATAAAAAAAGGTGTAACCAGATCATTAATTCCTTGAACATAGCCAGAAGCAGGATGTCTAACAGACCAAATAAATAAAATTCGTTCAAACATTTGTTGTACAACTTTCTGTCTAAACAAACTTATAGTTGGACTCATTCTAGGAATGTCAATATGAATCTGAAAAAGAAAAAAATAATAAGATAATAACATTATTTCAATACATGATACAGAGGCAATAATAACAATGCAAAAACGATCACTATATTATTATAATTACAATTATAGAATAAAAACAGCTAAATAAGTAGAAAATTTTGCTGATCCCCACAGTTCTAGTCTGTAAGTCCAAATAGGTTTCAGTATTGTCTTGTAGATCAGTAGCTAGTTTTCAATGGAAAGTTTAGATTTTCTGCTTAGTAGTCGGTATAGTTGGCCGTATCGTAGGTTGAGTTCTTGTCTTTTGAGTCTAGTATGCGGGTTCCACGTTAGTCTTCGGTCTAAATCAAAGCCAAGATACCGGACTGTGTCTGAGTAAGGAAGCTGGATGGAATTAAAGAGTACTTACTGGTGGACAGGAATTGCGTCGGAGTGTAAAGGTTAGCAAGTAATTAATGAATTGGACAGGATTATGCCAAATATTGGTGGACCAAGAGAAAATCAGAGAAAGTTTCTGGCTAATGTATCAAGTTTCACACTTTTGTACGCAGCACCGATCTGGTCGGAAGCCTGCCAAGCGCAGTCATATGTCCGTAAAGCTACCAGTGTGCATCAAAGGAGTGCCCTGAGCGTCGCTGGAGCTTTTTGCACTGTTTCCTACGATGCTGCATTCCTCATCGCAGATATGCCTCCAATTGATCTTTTGGCAGATGAACGCAGCCGGATTTTCGAAGAAAACGTGAAGAGCCGGATGCTCACTGGGCTATTTTAGAAAAGGAAGAGAGAAATCATACTCTTGAAAGATGGCAGAGACACTGGACAGATAGACTCACCATTTCATTTCCAATATATCAACATGAATATCCCGGAAACATGGAGAGGTAGAATATTATCTCACCCAACTGCTTACAGAGCATGGTTGCTTCAGGGCTTACTTAGCCTGCTTCAAAATAGAGGATAGTTGATTGTGCCCAACATGTGATCCTGTGGATGAAACAGAGGAATATTCGTTCTTCTGTTGTTGAGGTTCTGCTAGATAAGTAAGAACTAGGCATGAAATTCGGAACGAAATTATCCCCAGAAAACTTAGTTGCTTTCATGATGACTAGGAAGGAGAATTGGAATGCTGCAGCAGACTATGCAGCACAAATTAGCAGAAGGCTCAGAGCACACCTCCTGTGAAGTAATGCTTGGCAGCAGTTCCATGAGGTGGTAAAGAAGAATTGGGAGGTGGTTTTTTAGTGAGTAGGAATCTCACACTGATGTGTGATATTTTGTTGTTGCACTTTGTCTTAGGAAAGATTTTTCCCTTACCCAGAAAAAAAGAAAAAAAAAAACACAAACGGAGACCATTTTGTGGGATTTGGTTATTTGGACTCAGGGAACCTCTAAACGTGTATTTCCATTTAAAATCAGAATCAAAATGTTTTATGCAAATTTCGCAATACTTTTTCTAATTATATATTAAATATATAGGTAAGTGAAAGTTAAATAATTTTTTAATAGAAATAATTAGCAGAAATCATACCTGTCTATAAGTTCCTTGATAAATGTCATCTCTTGCATCAGTCTCATAATACTGAGAAACATAGTTCCAATATTCAACTCTTTTTTTCTTTAAAGTTTCATCCCGAAGTTCTAAACAAGTAGGAGTGTATCCCTATAAATATAAATACAGATAATGATAAAAAGAAATATATCCAGTCAAAAACTTTTAGCGATTCTACTCGACCTGTCATGTTTTCACGTAAGCATCTAGGTGCATTATTAGCAACTGAGAAAAAAAGTAACATTTACTGGTGAGGAATAAATATAACTTGTTATTGGGGCAAGGGTGTCTTTCAAAAACATTTTACTGAATTTTTTAATCTTTATTGGTGATTTCAGAAAAGTTCCAGGTCACTGGAATAGCTGTAATAGGATATGACCATATAAATAAAGTGGTTTTTGTGACTTTTCAATTAGTAGTTTGTTTGTCTTTTTCTACAAAATATCTCGTATCCTTGTCTTGATGATGATCCAGATGCAAAAAAAGAAAATGTTAAAAGATGGCTGTTTCTATTGGAAAAATTTCTGCAAAGCAAATTGATTTCATTATCAACCAACATATCTGTCTTCCCATGCCAATAACAATGAAATATATTGCACAATAAGCTATTAATTGAGAATTTTAAACTAATAAAAAAAATTATTCTATTTCCAAAATTAAAGAAAAATAATTGTAAACTTACAGCCAGAAGTCGCCAAGTATCAGCTTTTACAGGGAAGGGAATACCAGGCCAACTTAAATTTTGTAAATCACTTAAATTCAGTAATGATGACTCCAATAAACACTTAAATTTTATGATTTTTTCCTCAGCAAAATGATATCCTAAAAAATGTGAAATAGATAAATAAAATATATCAACACAATCTTATTAAAAATAATATACACTACTTAAAAAAATATAAAGAGGTTAAAACATTTATAAAAACTAAAAATTTAAATTAAATATCTAGATTAGTAGAATTTTTGTGGAGTGAATGTCATCCTGAAAACCTGGTGAGCCATGTATTGCAAATAGACGAACTTTGGGAAGCAGTGAAGAAATTTGCCACTGTTGTCCAGAAGAAATTGAGAGCAGAAGAAAGGATTAGGAGAAGTCTTTAGCCCAAAAGAAGGTAAATAAGTTTCACATCGATAAATAGAAGATAAAACAATGAGACGGCAAATAGTCATTCCCCTCCATAAAGTAATGCCTAATGGAGGTTCCGTGAAGAAAAATAAATAGATGAAGGGAGGTAGGTTTTAGTGGGTAAGAATTCCACACCCACATGCAGATAGGTATGAGTATGTTCATGACTTTTGAATATTTTCAGCTACTCATGTAACAAAAAATTTACGTTTTCAAGAAAATAATTGTAGCAATCAGCAAGTTTCTTTATTTCAGACTTAAATTTTCGGACTAGGAACATTTATTTTGTCATTTATAAATGTGGATCAATTCATAAAATAGAAATCTGGGTGAAAAATACAGTTTCATAACCACTTTACTTGAAAATCATTGTTTAAAAAGAATACATATGTATAAGTAAAAATGGTATTTGTATGTATTATAATAAATCTTAGATCATGAAAAAACAATAAATCAAAGCTTTGCAACAATTAATTGTAGTCATTTTGGCTGAAAACATGGGTACTTTTAGATAACAAGATAAAAAATCACATCATTTCTTTACACAACTTGAGGTGAATCTCAATTTTTTCCCTAATAAACCTCAACTTAATTTATATGACTTAAAGCTTATTAAACGAGAAAGTTTTTACAAAAGTGGAGTATCTGTATTATAGTTAGATGATGTTGAAAAAAATCACAAATAATTTATGATTTTAAAAACACAACCTAGCTTAGTTTAGCCACTCAAAAGTCCTCTTTAAATGGTTTTAACAATGCTAAACTCTACTTTTATTTGAAGTAAATTTTGTCTAGTTCACAGTAAAGCAATTGTTAATTACTTGAATTAAATAATTCTTTAGTTATTGCTGCTCGTACAGGAAAACAAGGTCATCTTAGAATTCTATTTTATCTACCTAATATCTCCTAAATAAAGCATTACTAGACATAATTTCATAAGCAATGTTTTTATTTTTAGATCCTTAATCCATATTTTCAATTAGGACACTTAACCCTGAAACACCCTGTATATGAGAGAAGGGTAGCTCAGTGAGTAAGATTCTGTTCTGATTGAGTTCTGAGTGAGTAAGATACTGATCTTATTACTACTAGTTGGCACTATTCTCCTATTCTTATTTTGACGAGTAGAGTTCAGGTCCAGCTGTGGCAGATATTTATCTACATAAGCCGTGGTTCAATCCTAGGGTAGTGAGAATCTTCTGGAACACACGGAGCCTCTATGAAGTGAGCATTCATAATTAATTATTTAAGGGGAAATTGGATTTCAATTCTCTTAATAGCATTCAAAGCACTAGTATGCCATGTGTAATAAGGTTACAGCAACCACAAACATGTAATTTATCGTTATGACATGATGTAATGTATAAAAAGCATGATCCCATATATATATATATATATATATATATATATATATAGAGAGAGAGAGAGAGATAAATACATATATACAGATATATACATACACACAAGTATGTGTATCTATGTGTATTATCTTCTTCTTCTTTGTCTTCCTCTTCATGCCATTACTAGCATCAAGGAGCCTCTATCCAATGCAGCCATGCCTCTCAGTCCCTACTAAGCCGCCTCATTTCCTGCAGGGTTATGCCTCTCTTCTCACCAATCCGCTGCATATACTTCTGATAGGAAATTGTGAGGTGGTCCCTCGGCCGCCTCTCAATGGGTCGAGCTTTCAGAACCTTTTGCGGATCTCTCTCATCCTCCATCCAACAAACGGGGCCAAATCACTTGAACTGTCGGTTTTCCAGTAATGTTCTTACGTCTAAGAACATATGTGTATTATAGGTGTGTAAATTATAGGTTTCATTTCAGAATTTAATTTATAAAGCCAATCTATTAATTTAAATACTTAATTTTGTAATTCGGTAATTTAAAAAATCATTATGATAAAAGAAAACATACCTAACAACTGTAGATCTAATTCTGAGTTAAACTTATGAATAACTTTAGGTCTTGGATCACCTAAAACAGTTACATCTTTGTTACTTGGAAAAAGTAATGAGGCAATGTTATAATAAACAGAAATATTATAAAATCCTTTAATTATAACAGAGAATAACACACAGATATAAGTTATCGTGTTACTTCAAGACTTTTTTTTTCCAATTACAGGCCTAAGGTTAAAAAAAAGCAATTTTTAAAATTAATGAAATAATTATTTCAATAAATATGAACAGCATTATTCCCATTTTAAGTACCCTTTGTTTCTTATCTGAAAAATAAATTGAAACCCATCAACATAGTAAACTAGTTTGAGAGTAAAAACGTGGTTGTTTGGAGTTGCAAGATTTTTCCAGGACCCAGCATGTCACATCTTATAAAATTAAAGGGAAGATGACCGTGATGGATAATATTGAAATTTTTGAGAAAAAGTAAATAGAAAACTTCAGAAAATAGAATATAGATGGCTAATGGCATCAAATCTCAACAAAATAATAATCTTAAGTACTAAACCAAACTATCCAAGAAGTAGACATTTAAAATGAAAGGTGGTCAGTTGACTCGCCAAAGCACTCCTTTCCCCACTTCTAACACCAAACCCTTTATATTTTCACACGAAAGCTTAATGGTCTGTTAGATAATTGAAGTATTTGAATGAAGTGACATAGCAAAGGGGATTGAATATTTTTCAAGGGAGAAAAAAAGTTGATATTTCTTTTTCGCACCTCAAACAACCCTCACATAAGAATTTTAACAGCAATCGAAATTTTTTTTCTCTATAAATTCATCATATTTTTTAGTCACAATAAAGGAGATAACTACAGAAAGACCTCACCAATCACATACAACTTAATAATGGTTTAGGGCTCTATAAATAAATTACATCAAGGGTTTCCTATATTGTTATGTGTTACAACTAACCCATCACCCTTTCATTTATACCATCACAATTATTTCAGTATAGTATATATACTTTATTATTTTCTTAACAATTCTTTCTTGTAGATTTATTAATTTGAGAATGTATAAGGTAAACAATGAAAAGTTAAGAAATAGGCAGAGATTTTCATCAAACTCATAAGAGTCATGAAATTTTCCAAAAATTTCTTAGTAAAAAAATGAAATAGGTACTAAACAAAATGAAAATAATAAAACTTAAAAAAGTAGGTACCCAAACAATTTGTTTAAATTTGTACTAACAATTTTGTAAATTTCTTAATACATTGATAAATTATCCAATGTTTTCTACAATTTAAGTTTGCAATTAGTTTTCATCGTGCTCAATATTCTGAATATCATGATAATTGATTCAATCCATTAAGGGCTGGAAGTAATGAGATAGAGAAATAATTCTCATATTCGGCAAGACTGTCAGATGATTGCAAGGGGAGGGCGAAGTCCATCTTGAACTATAGAGCCATTTATGTATATATTTATAAATAAATAATGGGAACGGGGTCGCTCAGGGAGTAAGGCGATAGCCATCTAAACTCAAGGTCCCAGGTCCAAACTCAGTGATGATAGGTTATTATTTATGCTGTTACATCAACCATAGACCGACTTTAGGATCAGAACCCTCTTGGTGCACACTTAACTTTTATACAGTAAGTACTCTTAATTAAATAATTGATTAAGAGAGAAAACCTGGCAGCTGTGTGTGATCTAGGTCCAATCATCTTCCTGTACAACCGTTTGCCTTGAAACAGTTCTTCCTTACAAAGTACTGGACCCCAAACTCTTCATGGTTTGCAGTGGTATAGATTTTTTACAGGTATATAAATATACATGGAATTATATTTTCTCGGCTGTTAATGCATTTTTTATATAATCTAATGGTTTAGTCAATAAATATACAACAATATTTTAGAGGCGTTTCAGGACTTTATCGTTCTCATAATCAAGAAAACATTTTTTTTCACAAAATAATTATTGCACACTAAAATTACAAACAACACTAACTTTCATTTAAACAAAATTAGTTACCAAATTATCACTGGTTGGTTTCCTTTAAACTCAATTTATTATTGATTTTAATTTTAGAGTGTAATAATTATTTTTAGGGAAAGCTCTCAGTAAAGCTGTTTTTTTTTTTTTTTGTTTTTTTCACTACAGGGAATGAACATGAGATCAAGTCTCAAAACATCGCCGAAATATAGTTATATATTTATTTACTGAACCTTAAGATCATAGTACATATACATACATAATTATGTAGTTTTCTCAGGTTATTTCAAAAAGTGAAAAAAAAATGACAATATTACTGTTCAAATATAAAACATAAATAAACTACAACTTGAATTCAAGTAAATAAAATGCAAATAATTGTACAGTTTCTAAAAAGAAAAATTAAAAATCAATCACAAAATTGATTAATATGCGAATTAATGTAACATGTGGTTTTGAGATGAATCACAAAATACATGTGATATCACTTTTATAATCAGAATGGATGTAATACAAAACATTGTTCTTCGGGGAAAGAAAATCTGGAGCGTATATTGTCTTGTTGGATAAGTAAGGGATCATATTCGCATATGAATTGCAGGTGATTCCAGAAAGCATGAGTTCTCAATAGTATTTTCCCAAGAATGAATGCCACTAAAAAGTTAAGGAGAGACTAAGTTACAAAATAAAAAAATAACACAAATGGAAAAATAAGAAATAAAAAATTTATCTCTGACAAAAAATAGTCATCTTACAAATATAATTTTGAAAAATTAAGGGGTCTAATAATGTTTTCACTTATATTTTATAATTCAAAAATTTAAAAATCCAACAGTTAACTATTGACAAATTATATTTAAGAGGACAGCATTAAATAACTATAGCTGCTGTTTTACAGAAACAATGAATGGAGCCAAAATTTTGGAATAGCCATATTTATAAAACTTAAAACATAAAAATATTATCCAGTTAATTGAATATTCATAAAATAAATGTAACATAATTAGAAGCTATTCCACACAGTTAATAAAATTAACATACCTTAACTTATTAAGCAGAAAAAAATTAGGTTAAAGGTATGCAAAATTTTAAATAACAGACCATCAAAAAATCTCTTGTAGACTTAAAGGATTTAGCCTCGTTCCACTAACCTTTGTCTACATCATTTTTTCCAAGAAAATTTTCATCTTTATCACATTCAATTTGTCTCTTATTTGGCACTGATTCACTGCATTTATACTTATGGATGTTAATAACATTTTCAGCGGCTGTTTGGGATACTTTCTTAGAAATTTTTAAATCTAAAAAGGAAAAAAATAAATAAACACTGTTAACAATAAAGAATATGATATCTCTTTATTGTATTAATTTCTTAATTTTTTTTCTTTTACATTTTTACAATAGATCATATTTTCAAAGATGTATATTATAAGAATAAATTGTCAAAAATCAGTGTATATTTAAATTTTTAGATAGAAGATTAAAAATGATAATGAGGTTATTAATATAACCTCATTTATTAATATATATATATATATATATATATATATATATATATATATATATATATATATATATATATATAAATTCAAATTTTTATAAATAATTCACACTTTTTAAAAAGTAAAACTGAATTGATCAATAAAAAAATTAATTTTGACTTAAGATTTTTCAAAATGAGTGAAAGTTAATATAGCCAAAAATATAATATAAATGTTTTCAAATATACCAAGTTCCAACTTTTTTTCACTTTATAAATAAAGATTTATAAAAAGAAAAGAAATACAGTTTATCTTTTAATTATAAATTTTTAAAAATGCACACAAAACAAGTATTTTTGCTTTGTTCTTAAATATTAAATGCCAATTATTTTAACCTTTTCTTTTATTTTACTTCCTACCGCTCCATTTCTGGTATAAGTGAGGGGAGAGAGATTATTCTACAAGTATAACCAGCCAACCTATTTTGACCAGGTCAAGATTCATTCTTGTGTCCGCCATAAAAAAATTTCAACCCACCTAGGCCGGATTCGAACGGTACTAGACCCACCCAAGGTTGCTGAGATCATGATGCCTTAACTCTCTCAGCCCTCATGAATGCACTTAAAAATATTTGTCCAAAAATGTTGAACTTAGGCCATTCTCTCAAAATATAATTAAAAAGTTTTAACATGTTATATCACCAAAAATTTGTTGTTTTCCTCGCAAATCACAATTATGAATTTTAAAATAAAATTTTAAGAAGACAAATATCAAATTTTATATTATGTGAACGGTATCAAACAAAAAAATGTTTGTGAAAGCTCAGTCATCAATTAATGTCTCTCAGATGTTGTCAAGTACTGTAAATAACTTAAAAATGTAGTATATATAAAGACTTTTAGCAAATTAAATTTTAATTAGTTTAAACAAATTTTGTCTGAACATATGTAGTTCTGGGTTAACATAAATCTCACAACCCAGTGTGTGTGTGTGTGTGATCTTTTTCATCTTCTCATTCCGTTCGTCACTTTTTTTTGAGCTGTATCTTTTAAGGAGACCAAATATATACACTTTGGTTGTCTTCACTTCCTCTTTCACTAGAGATCACCTTTCTGTTGTTTTTTAACAGTAAATAGTCAAGACAAATGAAAGAACCTAATACGTTACTGAAATTTAAAATAGAAGAGAAATTAAAAAAATTATTACTGAATAGAAAAAAAAATGTAAATCAAATGAGAGGAAATAAAGCAACATTTTCACAAATAAAATAAATACGTACTGTGCAGTAAGTTCATCAAATTTAATTCTAATGACATTCTTTAAGAATTTATAAATTAACTAATAATATGATCACTTACTTGAAATATTACAAAATTCATCATCACCTAAATCCCAAGCATCGCTGATACTTCGCTGAAAATCTTGAAATGATGATGATGTAGATGGACTAAAAGAGTTTATAGTTTTAACATCCTTCCTAGGACTTGGCCTGTTTAAAGATACAATTTATGATATAAATGTGAATATGAAAAAAATTACAATGTAATATAAACCTAAGAACTATTTAATAAAAATTAATATTATTAAACTTAAAATATATTTTTAATCTTGTAGAGGATGAAACATTACACATAGTGTACGTATGTATGCATATAAATAACAAAACTACACCACTTAAAGATTTTTAAAGAGCTTTGCTATTTCAAGAGACAAAATTAATGGAATGGCTTTTTTAGGCAAATAGTAAGCAAAAAGAATGAAAATTAAGATTCACTACCTTTCCCAGTGGAACCCATATCTGGATGGAAAAGGTTTAAGCTACATTTCTTAAACATCTCTAATGCTGACAAAATAAGATTGTTTTACAGACTTACACCAGATTGAACTCTTCAGTTTAGAGAAGAGAAATAAAGTTAAATTTTCAAAAAAAAAAATAATCACTACTTTAGTAAAAGGTAATGTTATGGGTGCAATTAAAATTTTATTATCTATCAAGCAAATTCAAAAAAACAAAAACATGCTGCTTCAAAGTGGTTAAAAATTTATCATAGGATGAAGAAAACAATACAAAAGCATAGATAACATCCCAGTTATTAATAACATTTTTAAAAGAATAAGTAACAAACATGCAATTGGTAAAGAAAAATGCAGTGGAAAGGTTGTGTCTCAACAAGCCTATAGTCTGGCCAGCATCGCAGCACTTACAATCATTACTGTAACACATTAAAATCATAATATAATCATTACGTATAGATAAAATTGTCCCCAACCAGCACCTAAATTGTCCATTTTCCTTAACTTTTTATAGGATAATTTACTGACCGATTTATCAACCACACCAATATACACTGACAGGCAAAACATTCCACCCACTTGATTTTTTCATGTTTTCATCTAAAAATATTACTGTAAAGTTGTATTTGTATATAATACATGGTATTTGTAGATAATACTTAGTATTTATGGAATTTTATAATCTTTTTTACCTTTAATAATCAAAATGTGATTGGGTAAGAAAGATTAGAGAAAAAAAAATTGAAAAACGAACCATTATTATTCTAAAAGAAATTAATTACATCATTGTTTAGTAGTGCGTGTTTCCTCCTCTTGCCTTCACTACTTCTCGACGCCTCGGCATACTTTCCACCAGTCGGGAAATGTCCCTTTGCTGGAGGATAGTCCATTCCTCCCAAAGAGCCCTTTCAAGGTCCTGCAGTGTATCAGGAAGTGTTGCACACTCTCTTATTCATCTTCTGAGGTTATCCCATAAATGCTCAATGGGGTTCAAATCTGGAGACCGTGCTGGCCAGGCTAAAACCTCAATATTGTTCTGTTGAAGGAACGTCTCCACTATGCAGGCGACATGTGGGCATGCATTATCGTGCATTAGAATAGAACGATCGCCGATTTCGTTGAGGATAGGAAACACATGAGGTTCCAAAATCTCATCTACATAGCGAATAGCCGTCAAAGACCCTCCACGAACAACCAATTCTGTGTGGCGCTCCATTGAAATCCCAGCCCCCACCATTAAGGAACCACGTTGGAAAGGTTGGCTCTGGGAAAAATTACAGGCTGCATATCTTTCGTTTCTTCTTCTCCACACCCTTTCACGCCCGTCTGGAGATCGAAGAGCGAATCTTGACTCATTTGTAAAAAGTACAGCACTCCATTCGTCCATAGTCCAATGGCTGTGTTATCGAGCAAAAGCCAGCCGTGTTACTCTGTGAGTTCTGGTCAACTCTGGTCCTCTTACTGGACGAAAAGCCATTAATCCATACTCATTTAATCTTCTCCGAGCAGTACGTTCAGAAATTTGCACATCTCGAACTTCTTCGAGCTGATGAATAGCTTGAACAACGGTAAGGTGCCGGTTTCGTAAAATTCTGAAAGTCAAAAACCGGTCATCCCGTGGTTCTGTTACCCTAGGCCGTCCAGAATCGGGCCTTCTATTGTAAGAAATTGTTTCGCGAAAATGCCTGACGGCGTCTCGTAAAGTTTCATATGGATGGCATTAGCTGCATATCTAATGGAACCTCCGTCATCAATAAGTATCACACCACACGCAACATCCTCAGCACTAAGAGGCATTTTTAAACTTAATACAAATCTCATTAAAGTTAAAATATTAGAAGAAGAGAAAAACAAAAAATACTAAAAACTTACTGATATATATAAAACAAACATGGGAAAATAAAATAACATGAGTGAACAAAATTATTTCTGGGGGAACTTAAAAAGTTCTCTTATCTACATTTCGTGATCAATCGTATTGGGAAAGGAGTAGGTGTTTAAAAAGGAGAGATTTAAATGAGGAAACTGATTGTGCATGTCGGATATCGGTAGGGATGGTATTCCAGAAGGAGATGGCTTGAATTATAAAGGATTTGTCAAACGCAGCAGTTCAGTGAGGAGGTGGATAGAGGTCGGAAGTACGGGATCTAGTGGGACGGGATTGAATGGAATATTTAAATTGTAGGCTGTGAAAAATATAGGAAGGTCGCTGAGTTCTGATGGCTTGGTATAGAAAGGTAGCAAGGAAGTACAGAGGGCCGTTGGATGGATAGAGCCACTTCAACTTGGTGTAATATTGTGTTATATGAGTATCTCTTGAGATTCCGAAAACAAAACTATTGCGCAGTTCATTAGGCGTTTAATAAGTTTGGCCTCGAATTCTCCCGAGAGTCCACCATACTCGAAAGCCATAGTCGAAGTGGGGGAACACAAGAGAGGAAACCATGAGTTGATGGGATTTATATGGGAAGGAGATATCGCTGACGGTTAAACTGTTTCAGGGTAGAGATAGTACGACGGGAAATTTGGGAGATGTGTGGTTTCCAGGAGAGTGTTTATCAAAGGTAACACCCTGTTTTTTTACGGAAGTATGGAATGAAATAGGTGAGTTGTTCAGGAAAAGATTGGGGAGTGTCGGTAAGGATTTGAGGAGTGAAGGAGATCTGATCAGGCTGACTTTTCGTCTTCTTGGCATTTAGAGTAATCCTATTGTGGTTTGCCCAGGTACAAATTCCAGTAATATCTTCCTGTAATTTTTGGATGGCGTCAGAGGGTTCGGCCGGATTGAAATAAAGGTAAATCTGGATGTTGTCGGCATACATATGGTATTGACAGTGTAGGATATGTGGGAGGTCATTGATGCAGATGGAAAAAAGGGTGGGAGATAAGGAGCCTTGTGGGACACATCTTTGCTGGTAGACAAGAGACATCAGAGCTCCATACAAGATGTAAGAAGCTATCATGGAGCAGACTGTGATTTGGCTCACTCTCTGATTAGAATTAAAACTATGTCAGAGATTGAAGCGAATTCACACAACAGGAGATCGAGTGGAAAGAAGGAGGTATAAAGTCAGTAATTTGAAAAATTTTGAAGTAAAAACCAAATTCCAACTTGAGCTGAAAAATAAATTCGAACCCTTACATTCAGATAGCCTCATGGTGGACCAACACTGGAAGAAAATTTTATCGGTATTCAGGAGAAACGAAAAGCTAAGATATGGTTCACAGAAGCATGCGAAAAGGCAGTAGAGGAAAGAAGAAAAATGCCCTGCCTAACTACAACTAATCAAGTTGCTCAGGACAAGTACACAGCTGCCAAGAAAAAGGCAAACAAAACTATAAGATCCGCAAAAAGGGAATTCCTCAAAGAAAGATAGCAAACCATTGAGAACAACTGGCAGGCTGGAGATATATGCAAATTCTATACAGACATTAGGAAAGAAAGGGTAGGATATAAAGCGAGAAATACACAAATGCGAGGAAAATATGGCATTCTGGCGGCATCTAAAGAAAGTATATTGAACATCTGGAAAGAACATTCTCAGGAACTTCTCAATAAAGAGGATCCCACGAACGAAGAAGACATGGACCATAGTGAGGATTTTGACCCAAAAGAGGTTGAAAAACCAGATATTGTTATATTAAAAAAAAAAATAATGATTTTTTTTCTGAATTCAATATTTAAAATCTAGATTAAGTAAAATGAAAAAGGAATTCAGAAAGGTAGAGTAGAGAAAAAAATGACAAGTTAAATTTCAGACAAACTGGAAAAAAAAAGTAGGATTAAATGAGAAATTTTAATTGTAATTCAAAATTAGTTTATTTTAAGATAATTAAATTTAATGTTCATAAAATTAATGCGTGTTGTGAATAGTGATAAAAATTTTGTAGTGTGGGGGCGCCGGAGTTAGATGGTAGACGAGTGGGGGCCAAGAAGTTAGAAAAGGAGAAGAGAGAGGATTGGCGATAACGGAGGTTGTGGATGTATCCTCATGGTGACCAATTCGTCAGATTTATTTAGTGATTGTGGTGGTACTTTTTTTTTATTTGCTTCATAATTGTAAAGACACGAAGTGTCAGGAAGGAGATGTGACCAAAGAAACAATCATCATGTGTCAGAGGAAGACAACCCGAATTGGAGTGGAAAGCGAGCAGCTCAGGCTTCAAGACGACCCTATATCACCAGCGACTTATAAAGGAGGACAATATTACATAAATACATGTATCTTTCACTTTGTTTATTTTTTATGTTTGTATATTCAAGTCTTGCTCAATTCAATCTCAATATTTTTTTCTTTGTGGTGAAAGTACACCTAACACCTACTAACCTAACCTTCAAAGCTTAGGAACTTTTGAGGAGGTTTTGTTTAAGTTAGTTTAATTTTTTACTTCAGCTGGATACTTACGTTTATTTGCTTTGTTTTTTAATTGTTTAAATGAAAATATTTTTTTTTTGTGTTCAATGAGAAATTTATTATTTTATTTTAACTCCTTGCATGATTTGCAAAAATTTAAGAATAAATTTATTAATAATCACCAATACTCTATCTCTGAATTCAATAAGATAGAAGGTAAGCTATAAGGAACAACAGATGTTATGGCTGAAGGGTTAGGTGTCTGACTCTCATGCTGAAGACTTGAGTTTGAATCCTTATTCATGTAATAATTTTTTTTATTTTAGAACTACTTTTATTGTCAGTTTCACTTTTCCTTCCATAATATTCATTTAGTTTTTTTATAGACCCAATTTGAAAACAATAATTAAATTTCTGGAATGATAGATATATATTTTTTCTAATTAAAGGTTTCACTATTACCCAAGTATAACAAAAAAATAGTGAGGCGTCCGATAAAGAAGTAAGGATTAAAATTATCTATCCAAACATTTTTTTTCCAAGTAATCGTACATTACTAATCATTTTTTTCTGATTTTTTTTTTAACCCTTGCTGTCACCTCTGAGCTGAGATAATTTTGTCACCAATAATTTTAGTAACAATAGACTGGATGTAGAAATAGCTATCGAAAGGCTCAAAACATGAAAGGCTCCAGGGATGGACAACCTACCACCAGAACTATTCAAAGATGGAGGAGACAACTTAAGAGCCAAGCTATTACAACTAATCCAGAAAATATTGGAAGAGTAAAGAATACCTGAGGCTTGGAATACGAGCCTAATTTGTCCTATCCTAAAGAAAGGCTCATGTATGAGTATATTAATTATAGAGGCATAGCACTCCTTCCGGTTGCCTAAAAGATAATGACCAATATCCTACTAAATCATAACTGAACTGGAAATTCCCGGTAAGTTGGTGAGATTGACAAAGGTGTGTACAAATGACTCCAAATGTAGATTCCTAATACAAGGAGAAGTATTTGAAGTCTTTAAAGTTCGAATGGGCTTACAGCAGGGAGATGGACTATCACCGATGTTATTCAACTTAGCCCTGGAGATGGTAATAAGAGCAACAACAAAGGAAAATGGAGGGGTCCACGTTGGAATGAATCACAAAATCCTTGGATACGCAGATGATATAGCTGTCCTTGGAAGTATAATCAAGAAGACATTAAGAAACTTACCACAACATTAATAAGAGAGGCAGAGCATCTTGGCCTACAAGTAAATGAAGACAAAACAAAATATATGATAAAAAGCCGAAAAGTCCACCCCAATAACAGGATTTGCGGAGAAGGAAAATCATTTCCAAGAGTAGAAAAATTCAAATACCTCGGCTCCACAATAACCTCAATGAATGACCAACAGGCAGACATAGACCAGCGTAAAACTAGAGCAAACAGAGCTTTCTTCTCCCTCTCAAAGGTATTGAAATCCCGAAAAAGCTCAAACTATGGGTGTACAATGCTATGATAAAGCCAGTTCTAATACATGGCTGTGAGATCTGGACACTAACCAGCACCCTAGAAAAAAGTTTTGAAAGATTTGAGAGAAATCTTCCGCACAATAACACAAAAGAACTGCTTACAGAAACTGGTCAATCGTTATCCCACGATATGAAGGCACAGAGGTTAAGATGGGCAGGGCATGTAGCTCATAGAAATCCATCTCAAAGTCTCTACTTAACAATGAATGCCTCAATAGAAGGCAAAAGACCATGTAGAAGGCCAAAAAGCAAATGGATAGATAGAATCAACAGAGCTGCATGCAGATAAATAGAAAGAAATAGCCCAAGAGAGGCAGAGATAGAGCAGGCTTGTTAAAGCAGCAATAGATCTACATGGTCTGTAATGCAAAAAAAAAAAAATTAATAAAACAAAAAAAAATTATTTTTTAAATCTATTTATATTGAAATAATAAATTTTTGCAAAATAGAGTTTTCTGTAAAATCTTAGAATAAAAAAAAAATAAATGATGGAAATAGAAAATTCCAAACACAAGACCATGAGTCTTATTAAATGCAAGCAGACAGATTAACCCAATTTCAATAATTCTGGCATCCTGAAGACAGAAATGGTACTTTTTGTCTAGGGGGCCGCTACTGACTGCTATCTGCCAATGTTTATAACCTGAACACTGATAACTCCCATAACGCAGTGATAATCCTTGTATTATTGTATTAAATTCATATTATTGAAAGTGTAAACAGATATAAAACAAATGTAATAACAAAAAAAATATTTTATTTGACGACACATATATTAATGAAATAATAAAAAAACACTTTAAGAAGATATGTACATATAAAACATCAAAATGAAATAATAAAAAAACACATTTAAAAGAACATATTTACATAGAAAAGAAAAAATATAAAACAAAATCTGTTTTATAAAAAGATAAAACATTCATGTTTCTCGGCAAACTCCACCAAACATCCACTGCTGAGGTAAAACTCTCCCGACATGATTTTTTCGTTTAGAAAAAAGACTTTCGTCTACTTCAACCACTTTGCCAGGTCCTCCAATTTTTGTTCTTGGTCTGTATAACATGTCATGGGCACAAACCTCTCTTAGGCATTTGTTCCACGTTACCATAGCTCCGTAGGATAGTTTCAGCTGCTCTTTGCCCCACTTCATCGTTGTCAAGCTATGGGACCAGCCATAAATCAATTTTAAAGCTGTTAAAAACAAAATCCTCAAGCCCTCCAACCATGTTCCTTTCCTTATTGAAAGTTTTGTGTCATAAGTCCTACGAAAGCATCTCCATTTGGCCTTCCTCGTTAACTTCATTTGATGACCTCATTCACACAATTTCACGTCGGCAAGTACCCCAACATTTTGAAAATATTGAATTGCCTGTTCTTTTGAAGGCGGCAAATCCCATATTCTAAGAAGATCCATAATATGACGAAAATAAACGGAAGAAAAATGAAAAATAAACACAAAGGGGCTACAAACTAAAAAAAAATGTAAAATAAACACAAACGAGCCAAAAACTAAAAATAAACACAAACGGATTAAAATTAAAGAATTTGATAAGGGAACGTAATAAGGGAATAACTGAAAACTAAACAATGCAATAACTCAAAGGTTTGGAGGGATAAGAAGAGGGAGGTTATGTGACGTGATCTTAGATAAGATAGATAAGAAGTGAGGTTTCAGTCCGGCCCTCTAGACAAATAGCACCACAGAAACAAAGTAAACCACATATATGCAGACAAAATACAACACTTCTCTCATTAATAGTATTAAAAAAAAAAAAAGCATAATGACTAAAGACAGTATATCACTATATTAACAAAAAAACAACAATAGTAACATTAACAAAAACAAAAAGATAGTACATCACTACATGACAATACACACACAAAAAAAATTACCGGCCAGGAACTGCACGATTGTTTTTTTTCCAAAATGATGTTCCCTTTCCATCCTCAGGGTTGCCATCATTTTCTTCCATTCTAAAAGCATCAACTTCATTTTTAAAATAATGTATCTATGTTTAATCTATATAATTAAATTTCATAGAAGTGAACACATAGAAACAAACTTAAAATTAATGAGAACAACTTTATTCTTTAAATTATTGTACACTATTGGGGAACAGAACAATATATTAAGAACTTATTTAAACAGTTTATGAAAACTTTACTGGGTACTACTTCACAAGAGTCACTCCAAAATGGTGGATGGATACAAGCACATGATCACTTTAAATGTTATATCAAAAATAGACAAGTGTGTCCAAAAGTAGATGGAGGCACCTGATCTCTTTTATAAAGCCCCAACTTAAAATGAAGAAGACACCTTAGTGGTTTATTTACCTCTTTTAAGCAAACAAAAGTCAACAACCGTGTTCTAAATAAAGGTACGTAACGCATGAAAATGGTTGTCAATACTCAGGCATTTTCAGAATTTAATCGATGGAGTGATGATCAGTGATGTTATGCCCCGTTCGAGTGACACTTGAGAAGTTTTACCTCAACTATACCATAATGTTTTAATAAAGTAGAGGATAATAGTTCTGATTCTGGAAAGGCACAAGATTATATGATCACACTGTAGATGAAATTCGGTAAGTATACTCAGATCAATTTCCACATGTTATGTGACCATATAAATATGACGATCCTAATTATTCGATCATGAGTGATTATTGATATTACTATTGTTTTAATTTATAATGACCATCAGACTCCCACTCCAGAGATAAAAAACACGCAACAGATCCTATTCAGTTGAGTTCAGGACCTTACCGAGTCCATCAGTTCATCATCAAACACTTAACAGTTATCTATCACTACTGGCAAGGACCTGCTGGAGATTTGGTTATCTTTCGAATGGGAGCAAGTTCAATATTCATTATCAAATTAAAGAAGAAATAATTTTAATAACACCAATTAACCCTTAAAAGACAGGTAACATAACCTATCATAAACATTAAGTAAAAACATGAGGAGGAGCTGATATTAAGTGTGAACATGATATGACATTCTTACTACTTTAAGAACTTCATCCCAGTCACAATATTGGAGTAGGACTTCAGAAATAGTACAGCATAGAATTTAAGTCAAGCAACATCTTATATGCAGATAATTAAGAAAATGTTTATTTACACAGGAATAATTGTAATCAACAGATGCAATATACTTTAATTAATTCGGAACTAGTTCAATAATTTCATTTATAATTTACGTGAGGGTCAAGATAATCATTGATTGCACTGTAAAAGTAAGTCCTAAAAGTAGCTGTGTTAACAAATAAGTTCATGGGTTGAGTTGCTACACTCATTCAAGAGATAAATAAACCCACAACAGGTCCTTTTCAGGAGAGGATAAAGCCTTACTAAGAGATCAGTCAGTTGTCTCCATATATTTTCTGACACACTCAGGTACTTCAAAAATTTTTGAATCACCTGTCAAGTGTGATCTTGAACTATCTGTCAACCAGAGATGACACTTGTGAACTAGTACTGTTACTTTTATTGATAATTGTATCAGAATAATAACTAAATAGTTTGGATAAAAATTATATTCATAAAAATAATTAATTTCTGCAACTATGCGACGTCAAATGATAATAAACCTCATTCACATAAACTGAATAAGACTTAAAACCAACAGAAATTGTCAATTTTAAATAATTTGTAAAAGAATGGTGTTGATTAGAAATATATTGAATTAAATTATCCTTATTCTGTGGATCAATGAGGGATAATCTACCAAAAATATATATACTTTTTATCTAATAATTAATATTACTAGATCAATGTTTATGAAAAATGGAAATATATTTTAAATTTTAATTATTACATTTTTTTTTCTAAGAACATATCACAGTAAAAATTTGTATTGACTCAATTACCTAAATATATTTAATTTCAAGCTAATACATTTTTATCAATTCGAATTTCAATAAATGTAGGCATTACTACTAGTAAACAAAAGAACTCAAACCATGAAGAACAAAAAGAAAAATGTCAACAAATAACCTTTATCACTAGTATGGGTTATAAAACATGCTCTAAGAGGTAGCACATTTTTGGACATATGTCTCGTTTTAATTCTATATAATAAAAACAAAAAACATTTTTGGCTGTTAATAGTTGTCAACATTCAAGAATATTTGTTATTGTCTTAAATTAATAAACATAACTATGAATGAAAATCATGATTCATTTGCTGATTGTCTCGACCCAGAAGTAGCTGTATACTGCTTTCTTATTTACATTTTTCTGTATTTAAATCAGTTCAAAAATTGAAAATAAACTTTAGACCATTGAAAACAGTACGATAAACTTTTTTACTATTAATGATTCCATAATAAAAAGGTTCGCATATAATATTTGGCTCATTTTTGCGCAATAATTATAATGTACATTTCTGTTTTTTTTATTAATTTACAGTTTCCAGCCTTGTTTATAATTATCATAGGGATAATAATCAAGAATGTTACTATCAGAGTCTTTGGCGTAGATTTTTTGGTAGATTTATGCATGGGCATATTAATCAATATAACAATTCATACAAAGAAATATTCAACAGTTAATTTTATTCGAAGTGATAAGGCGTATATATTTTTTGGCTTATGGGTTAGTTTAAGGATTGTAGAAATTGATGTAGAGAGGAGGATATTAATTTTGATGAGGAAATCGTAGAAGGAATCACAGTATTTGGACAGGAATCTAGTATATCTAAATAAGACTGAGTATCATAATAATTGAGTATCATAATCCAACCTTGATAGGATTAACGCCTTATAAAAGAGAAGTGCTAAACGTGGATAAGACCCATAAAAAATGTTACATTACAGAGGCACAACTTATTAAATACAACACTTTTTCATATGAATTGCTTAAGAGATTAATATGATCACGCCACAGCAGTTTCCGATCCAGTATCCAGTAGTAATCCCAGTATCTTGAATTTTTTGTGTGATATTAAAAGTAAATTATTAAAATATAAACAGTCTGGCCAGATACAGCCACCAGTCAACATACCTCCATATTGTTTCGTGTTTTGTTTTGTTTAAATTGTTTGATTTTTACCATTTTTTTTTTTATTAATTTCTCAATTATTATAATTTCTTTGACAGTTCGTGGTTCTTCACAGTTCAACGAGAAGTGACTATTACGAGCTACGGGAATTAAGTAAACAACTGAGTTCTATAGGATTAAGCTCCGCTGTTGTCTTACGGATCATAACATCCCGTCTTATTATTGTGAGTATTATATTATATTAATATGGCTCATTGCCCGATATGCAGCAGCACCATCAGTAGAGATGAAACAAATATTTTATGTTGCGCTAAGTGCAAACTGTTATTTCACAGCAGGTGATGTAAACTTTTTTTTTTTTTTGTGTCTGTTTATTGAGTAATAATACATTTTGCCACACTTAAGGGCACTGAGTACTAAGGCTGAGTGAGGCACATTCATACCATATATACAATACCATAAAAAAAAAATAAATAATAAAAAAAATATAAAAATCTATATAACAAAGGCAAAAACTATAATAAACCAAGGAAATGTAACTTAGAGTTAAAATTAAATGAAATACAGAAATTCGTAGCAAAATTAAATAAATTATAAGTAATAGAAATAAATAGAAAAACATTCATACTTAAATACAATATTTACAATTAGGCAAGAGATCTCCGAGTCCAGCCCTTTCCCCCACGTGTGAAGGACAAAGCGAGACTCTAAGAGATCCCAGCGCTTCTCTCTCAACCGCGTCGCCGGCATTACCAGTCCGGTGGAGACTGAGAGAGGGCACTAAAACCACAAACACTCATGACTTGAGTGGAGAAGCTGGCCATTGCCAGAACTCCAGTGACGTCTTTACAAGAGATCTCGAGGCCACTGCCGTTTCAACCTTCGAGGAGGGTTGTAGGGATGACTGGAGCTAGATAAGGATTGTGCTAAAGGGTTAGGATGGTGGATTAGGTTCATGTGAAAATTTGAGAATCGGGATGGAATAACATCAAGGATATAAGGGATGTAAAGGTCATGATGTAGGGTTTTGTTTGTAACGTAATAAGGAGCATTGACTATCATACGGAAGACTTTAGACTGAAAGGATTGGATGCGTTTGATGTTCGAAAATTTAGTTGTCCCCCACAGTTCAAGTCCGTAGGTCCAGATGGGTTTGAGTATGGTCTTGTATATTAATAGTTTGTTTTCTATTGATAGATTGGATTTTCTGTTAAGTAGTCTGTATAGCTGGCCAAATCGTCGGTTAAGTTTTTGTCTTTTAAGTCTAGTATGTGGGTTCCAAGTTAGTCTTTTGTCTAAAAGGAATCCAAGATACCGAACTGTGTCTGAGACGGGGAGAGGTACAGAGTTGAAAAAGATATGTGGACAGGATCTGCGTCGGAGGGTAAAGGTGACATGCTTGCATTTGGATTCATTTATCTTAATGCGCCAATTTATATGAATCTAGACGTGTAAGCTTGTTAATAAAAACATGTAATGATCTTCTAGTGATCATTATTTAAATAAAGACATACAACAATATCCTAGACGAAAAAACAAAACATTTGTGTATTGAGCCAGAGGAAGTTGTTAATTCCCTACTTTGATTCCAAGAAAGATTTCCTGTTTACCGACGGCCACAGGCGGATTTACGGGGGGGGGGCTTTCAGGCTAAAGCCCCCTCCCCCGAAATGGTAAAATGTAACCATGTTTTATGGTAAAAAAAATTATGTCTTAAAGTATTATTGCTCGTTTAATTACATTTAATAGGAGTTCAAGAATCTCTTAAACACCATTTCATACAGGTAGTTAGTATCTTTCTGTTTTTCCAAAGTAAGTGGACAGGATCTGCGTCGGAGGGTAAAGGTGACATGCTTGCATTTGGATTCATTTATCTTAATGCGCCAATTGTTGCACCATTGCTCAATTAGGGAGATGTGTCTTTGTAGATTTAAGGATGCTGTTTCAGGATCTAGGTGGGATGACAGGATGGCGGTATCGTCCGCGAAAGTTGCTAGAAGGGTATCGGGATTGGTTGGAATGTCAGCGGTGAAGAGGATGAAGAGGACTGGGCCCAAGACACTGCCTTGTGGAACACCAGCCTCAATTGGATAATAGTTGGAGAATTCAGTGCCGCAGCGGACTTGAAAGGAACGATTTGAGAGGTAGGATTTGAGGACTAGGTACAAGGATTGGGGTAGGTGAGTTTTGAGCTTGAAAAGCAAGCCATCATGCCACACCCGGTCGAAAGCTTGCGCTACGTCCAGAAAGGCACCGGTGCAATATTGCTTGTTTTCAAGCGCAGAGGATATATGGTCAACAACGCGAAGGCCTTGTTGAACAGTGGAATGTCTTGAGCGGAATCCAAACTGATAGGATGGGATATTGTGGGTTTCGAGTATGGGTAGGATGCGTTTGAGAAGGATTTTTTCAAAGATTTTGGAGAGGATTGGGAGCAAGCTTATTGGTCTATAGGATGAGGTATTATTTACAGGTTTACCTGGTTTTGGGAAGAGGATGATTATGGAGTGTTTCCATGTCAGAGGAAAGTGAGTTGTGCGGAGGATACAGTTATATAGGTATGTGAGGAATATAATTGCTTTTTTGGAAAGTTGTCTTAGGATCTGGGAAGTAAGGAGATCGTGTCCAGGGGATTTTCGAGGTTTTAGGTTGCTTATAAGAAATTTGACCTCAGAGGGATTGACAGCAATAGGAGGCAAGGAGAGAGGAATAGGAGAAGAGAGAAATTCTTTAACTTCAGTAGTGAGGGTGGAATGGAGTTCGGGGTGGGGAATGAATGTTTTGGATAGATGTTTGGCAAATTATTCAGCTCTAGTCTCATCTGACGAAGCCCAGGTTCCATCATCGCATCGGATGGGAAACAGAATGGTATTTAAGGATTTTTCTGGTCAATTTCCAGAGGGAATTGTCATCGGTAGACAGGGAAGAGAGGTAGGAGTTTAGGAACTCACTGCATTATCTAGGTCTTGAGGGGTTTTTAGGGATACTCTGAGGTCTATTGCATCTGCTATTGTTTGGCGGAAAAGGTTCCAGTAGACTGGGCCTCTGATGAATGAGGGAGGAGATAATTTGGGGATAGGAGATGCGGAAAGAGTTAGGTTTAGCGGACTGTGGTCTGAGGAAAGGTCATCAAGCCGTAAAACTGAATAATTTAACGGCCCTAGACTTTTGTGAATGAAGAAGTCAAGGAGGTCAGGGTTACGGTTAGGATCGATTGGCCAGTATGTAGGAGTATCAGGGGAAAGGATGTTGCTATTGTGGGAAATAAGTGCAGACAGCAATGTTCGCCCGCGGGTGTTCGTGGTTCTGGCTACCCATTGCTGATGTTTGGAATTAAGGTCTGCACCTATTAGGAAATGATGTCCTAAGGAATTAAGAAAGGATATGAAGTTAGGTTTGGTTATTGCTGTTTTAGGTGGGGAGTATGCTGCGGCAACTGCGACAGGAAAAAGTGAAGTTTGGATTGTTATTGCTGAGGTTTGTAGGAAATTATGTACTGGTAAAGGATAAAAGTGATGGGAGAGGGATTGATGGATGATGGCAGCAGTACCTCCATGTGCTGTTCCATCAGGAGGGTCAGTTCGATAAATCTTGTAGCTAGGTATGTTGAACTGTCGTTTATTAGTTAGTCGAGTCTCAGTTACTAGGGCTATGTCAATGTTATTGTCCTGTAGAAAAAAAGTTAGTTCATTGATGTGGTTTCGAACACCATTCGCATTCCAGAGGAGAATGGAAAGGGGTTTTATTGAGGGCATTTAAGGAATTCTTGGCGGTGGAATAAGGTTAGATATGACATTTGTGAGTAAGGAGATAAGTCGTGTGATAAGAGATCTGAATTCGGAGAGGAATGATGAAAGGAGACTCGTAAGATCATTGGAATTGTTAGGGGGAGGGATGTACATTTGGTGGTGACTGGACTTTTGGGTGTTATTAAGTTGCGGTGGCGGATTATGAGGTTGTGGTTGAGTTTGTGGCA